CCTCGAAGAGATTTGGTATGGGAAGGAGACAGAGAAAGGAAGGAAGAATCGAGCGTGGTAGGCCTGTTGATGGCGGGGTGTGAAGAGGGGGAAGGACCAGTTCAGACTCGAGAAGCAGAGGGGCAGGAGAAAAGGAAGCAGGAGCGCGTTGCCCGGTGAGGGACTCGGTTCTGTAAGGAAGCTGGTTGGACGAGCCGGTTCTTCGAGTCTGAGAAAGAAGTTATAGAAGGGGTCAAGGGGTGCTGGCAGTATCTGGCAGCGAAGAGGTAGGCAGGTAGTGTGTTGTTTGTGGGCAGGTAGGTCAAGGCTATGTCCAAGTTAGGAATGGATGTTGACAGAAGAAAAAGTCGCGTCTTGTGTAGTGGGTGAAGAGGAGAAAGTCTGAGGCTGCAGAAGGCGAGTGTGGGAGAAAGATGGGGGATTAAATAGACCGTGGAGGCAGCAGCCCACGAGCAAGACCACCTGGATCAAAGGAGGCAGGTGCTTTCCCGTTCTCTTTCCAGAAAATCGAGAAGGTTTCACCTTGGTTCCCCGAGCAGATAGAAAGAAAGAAGTGCCTTGTCACGCTCAGTCAACTGCCCTTTCTTCAAGCCTGAGGCTGTTTGCACAACGATAGGCAACGAGAGTCCCTACTTCAGTCGGGCTCAAATTCATTGGTGATGAATGAGCAGCAAGTATTTCATAAATATTACCATAGGACTGTCCCATGTTCAAACAAGAATGCCGTGATACTGAAAGCCTCAAAGTTACTAGTTAACATGTCTTACAGCCTTCACCCAGCCTGAGCATGGGAAAGCTGCCATATGCAGCTAACGTCTATTCCATTACCCAGAGGTCATTTGTAGAGCTAGTCAGACTAGCATGTACCGGCAGCTTCCACTAACGGTGCTTGCTGTTGATGGTAAGGGTAGAGGGTCCTGTCCAAGAACATTACTTCTGAAGTGATATGATCTTCATAGTGCGGTATATTCTCAACTTCTGATGTCGTTCTGATCCTCATGCATATCTCTATATAACTATTGATTCAATTATTTCATAGGACTGCCTATCTTATTTCTATATAAGTATTGAACGCGTTCTCAAGTGTTCGTTGAGGCTGAGAGAGTTGATAAAAGTAGGGATAGCAATATCAGCGGAAATAGTAACAACGGTAGCAATGACAACAACAACAACAAAGATAGTGACAATAATAGATATGATCACGACGACGACAGAGACGACGACAGAGATGACGACAGAGACGACGACAGAGACGACAACGGAAACAACAATAGCGACAACGTTAGGATAACGACGAATACAGAGCTACAGAAATCATGGTTGCTGTGGCACAATCAAAACATGCATCTTCATTTCCCTGGTCATCTGACACTATCTCACTGCAGCTGTCTTGATCTTGAGTGCTCTGGTATTGATACCAATTGCCCAAGTATCAACCTTCCAAGCTCCCAACGAGCATATCAAAACCTCAAGCATGACGAAGAACGAGCCGCGAGCCTGTGAGCCGCTTCCGTATCAGTCGTCTAGCTCTGGAACGACCTGGCCCATCTCCAAAGACAGCAGTATAGTTGATGCCCACTTGAGCCTCATGCACAGGCGGATCCTACAACCAACGGGCTGGAATGCTCAGGCGTGCCTACATATCTACCCCCGAATAACTCAATCCTTATGCAACACTGCAAATTTAGCGTGATTACCCGTTGTCCAGTCGACAGTGGATGCAGTCAATATTTCATAAAGGAATCCCACTGCGTCCCGGGGGGTGGTTCACCAACATGGGTCTTCTCACCGGAGAGGATCTTCAGAAACAGCAGACAAAAAACCCCACACGCTAGAACTCACCGGGGACAGTGACCTGCACCACCGATTTCCCTTTTTTCCCAACAAAGTGCCATGTCACGGGCGAAGGGCGATTCAGAAACGAGATCAGCTCATCTCGTGTACACCGGCGCGCGAAACATGGCCCCCGAGAACTCTGAACAGCTGACAACACGTGCTAAAGGAACATTCCATCCCAGATGCTACCCTACGGCCGCCGCCGCCGCCGCTGCGGATACACGCGCCCAAAACACCAATTCCAGGCTGGGTTGGGAGGGTATCGCGGAAAACGGCTTGTGATCCGCCGGGAAAAAACCTACAAAGGGTCCCAGCAAGCCTCGCGGATCAGAAACATGAGGGAACATGTTCCCACACGGGACCTCACGGCGGCTCCGGATCGGCGGTTCCAACTTCGTGGTAACTCACGACAACGAACCACACCCATCAGACACCTTCGGAGATGGCTGGCTGGCTGGCTGGCAGGCTGGCACGCGGCTGCGAAGATTCGCTCCCTCCCCCTGTCAAACACACCAGCATTCTTTCCCAACGTCTAGCGTCCAAGTGGGTGGGTGCAGTGCAGGAAAGCCGCAGCACGAACAGTGAGGGAAAATTTCCGTCGAAGCCTCAGGGGTCCTGACATGTGCAATCCGCCACAGGATGGGAAAACGAGAAACGAGGGAATAGTCAGAACTCTGTTCCTCTCTGGCCGTGCAGTGCAGACCGCAGACCCAGGCAAGGCAGGTATGTAATATGCACAGATGCATGCGGCAACGGCAGCACGACATCGTGAATCTCCGCCGAGTCAGCAGCCTGATCAAGACCCATGCATGATTGGCAAAAAAGAGATACCCACCTCTCTCACGAGATCACACACCCATAGGTATCCAGCCATTCTCTTTCCAAACCCCGAAATTGCCCATTGCCATCGTCCGTCTTCATGCCAAACCAAGATCGGCAGGCCGCCACAGAGCTGCCCCTCATCCTCCTCCTCCTGCCCGATAGTGTCTGTCAGGTCCGACCCGAAGGAACGGAGTGTCAGCCCGGGCTCGCCTCCGTCTCACATACAGCCGTGCAGAATGCCTCGCATTAGAGTGACACATGTGAAGCGTGCGGCGGCGGATACAAGCTGTCAGACTCGAAGGGAAGGCGGGGGCCAGAAGAGAGACCCGAGGCCCGGAGCAAAAGACTTCTCGGGAGCGGACTTTGAGACGGCAGGGGTTCGCATCGACCCCCGGCCGTGGAAGCACGGCCAAGAGCTTCCAGAAAAACTCGTTTACGCGTCGTCGCAGCCCATGCGCACCCTTCGAATTGGGGCCCTGGCTGTTTCCACGAGACGCAGAGAAGCCCGGCAGCACGCACGCACGTCCCCCCATTACGGAAAAAAGGGGGTGGAAACAGAGCCGACCCAGAAAGAGTCCATCTCTTTTTTTGCCTTCAGTAATCGAAAACGAGGGCCATAGCTCTGAGCACTCCCCCCTTGTAACGGTAATATTCGAAGGCGGCAGGGCATATTAAACCAGCCCCCAACATATTCAAACGGCATGGTTGTTTGTAGCGCAGTATCTCAGCGGAACAGGGTAGGGTGGTGAGGAGGGGCAAGATTTGGTGGTGTCAATTCGCCGTGATGGTGCGGCCACAACCTCAGTTGATGGAAGGTGGTTAACCTCAGGAGGACCCTGGAAACACGGTCCAAAACGCGGCACCGAGTGCATCTGGGGAATTGGAAAATCACCCGCCTGAACTTTCGCAAATTCATGCGGTTGCCCGTCAGCATTTTTGGGCGCTGATGCACGCGTCGCATGGGCAATTTGGCGGCATATCTTCCCATACTCGAGGCGCGGGGAACAGGCGGGCAAATCCAAGGGACCTCTACCCAGAGGCTGCCTGGAAGCATAAAGCCGCTCCTGAGCTTTGCATAGCGCCGCCAGCCATGAACCCAGCACAGGACAGCGCCATGCCTATGCCGCCTCACCTACTAGGTAGGCACCCCCCTTGCTCAAGCTCATGCCCATGCCCGCCCAAACAACCGTCGAAGAGGGCCAGCCGCCCTGGACGAGATCCTCCTCGACTGGGTGATTTATTGGTCTTGACCGGACGCAGAAGGGCCCGCGGACCAGGTCGAAGCAGCCGATGGGGGCGTCAAAATGGAGAGCTACCGCCGTTCCTGCTGTTTTCTTTCTTGTGCCGCTGCGCCAAGGCTGGAAGATGGGCACCAGAGATCCCCGACGCTGGTCATTTTGCAGGTCCCCTTGTCATGCACTCAACTTCACGAATCACCAGGGGTGGTGGATGATAACTTTTTTGGCTTCACTCACTCACTTCTCATCTCGCCGGTCCGTATTTCTGCACAGACGTTTCCCTGTCCCAAGAACCCCACCTTTGGCTGTCATTCCAAATGCGCTTGCACCGCGGATGTGCCGGTTGGCTGGCTGCTCTCCTTCGAAGCCCGCGCCCCGGTTGAATGATTTTCTTTTTGGAGCAGGTTCCGCTTCATGGGCCGGCCTGGGATGAAGGCTGAAATATGAATCGCGGGACGAGAGAGCCGTGCGCCGCTACATCACGGCTTGCGACGCTGGGTTCAGCAGTGGGAACGAGAGGAGTCGACCGACGGTCTAAACGCTCCGATCTCGAGCGATCCTCGACGGCGACGGCGTTGGTCCGTTAGTCGATAGTGTTGGGCGCCAATGTGTTCCACCACCGTTCTGCACCGTTGTGCCCGTTGCGGCGCCGACTTGGCTGAGGAAGAGAGTGATGATCCTCCGGTGCTTCTCACGCATAACATAACGTCTATGCTCAATGTGGGGTACCCTCTCCTACGGCCATGCCCGGATCCTTGCGGCCTTCACATATGAATCAAACCGAGTTTTTCGTTGTTTTATGCAGGCCATCCTTTGCTGGCATGCCATTATCGGGACGTTGATAGTCGAAACAGACAAGTGGAGCAGAAAGCCAACGCGAGATGGTCAATTCTCGTCACTCTCTATGGGCTATGTGCAACATGATCGTGTGCAGCTGTCGTAGATGCCAGACCAAGCGGGAATAGTACTCCAAGCGACTCATTCCTCAGAGGCGATAATGCAAACGATGATTCCCTACCTTCCGCAACGCCTCGTCTATCTTTTGTTTTGTTGTATGACCATCTCTGCTCTGTTCCAAGTGGTTATGCGTGAGCATCTTCCTGTCTAGTTTTCCTCTTCACCTGCAACGTTGTGGATTCTGTCATTCAATGTTAGAGACGCACCAAGGCGATAACGAGGCCAAGGATTAACGTACCCAATGTCTGCGCTCCTTCCAGGAGACCGCGGCTCAGCGCGTGCACGGGAAGCCAGTCCGTTGATGTTGGCCGCCTTCGCAGCAGGGGCATCCGCGGGGGCGTCGAGCGTGGGGCCGCTGCTGGCCACAAGCGGTCCCCGATGCTTCCGCTTCTTGTTGCCACTGCGGAGTTCGCTGAGATGCTCCAGGTAGCCCTCAGGGATGGGGGTGACGTAGCAGCCGTTGAAGACACCGACTTCAAAGTTCTGCGTTGTGGGATCGCGGGGAGACAGCTCGGCGCAGGCAGCGATGAGGTCCTTGAGGTCCTGGTAGATGACCTTGTCGGCGCCGATGTGCGCTGCGATCTCGTCGGTGGTCTTTCCGTGGGCAATAAGGTCCTTCTTGCTCGCCAGGTCGATGCCGTAGAGATGCTCGTGCCTGTCCAATCTGTCAGTGTGTTTTCCAACTGGTGACACCAATAATTGAGCCTTACAGAATCTCTGGGCTTGAGCTAGAGAAAATGACCTTCTTGGCACCGGCTTCACGGGCCATGAGGACAATCTCCTGACTAGTGGTTCCTCGCACCTGTTGGGACCCAACACATCAGCATTGTCTTGAGTGTAAGACGACCGCTCGACATACAATACTGTCATCTACCAACAACACACACTTGTCCTTGAATTCTGATTCAATAGTGCTAAGCTTGCGGCGCACGCTCTTTTGGCGGACCTATTGGATGTCAGTTTTGCTTCAAACCCCAGATCAAAATGGTTGGCATACGCTTTGACCAGGCATAATGAAGGTTCTTATTGTCCCCTTGTCAGCCCATGCTTGACAGCTCTGTTCGTGAATTCACATACCTAAAGACATATCTGATTCGCCCCTGTCAGCACCAACTCTATTGCGAATTCAACATGGAAAGGAGAAACATACCTGTTCTTCACAAAACCGCTGGAGAAGGGCTTGTTAAGCCTTGTTGCCAGGGCTGCAGCTGCCGTGTTTGATGTCTCTGGAATAGGAATGACAACGTCAATTTCCTTCAGGGCCTCTTCACCAAGCGTTCTCTTGATCTTGTCTGCCAGCTTGATGCCCTGGTTTTCTCTTGACTTGTGAACAGAGATACCGTCGATCTCGCTGTCTGGGCGCGCAAAGTAGCTGGTACTGAGTCAGCTCCTTGGTTTCCTTCCACAGCCCGCAGGGTGGGGCAGCAGTGCCCTGGAGGCAAACAAGCCCCAGGGATAAGCAGAAATACAATCACTTACACATATTCAAAGACATCCGGCGTATATCCAGCAGGCTCCTGAATTTGCGTCAACACGGGGGTCGACCCCTTCTTCAAGAGGACGGCCTGGCCTGGCAGGACGTTTGTGATGTCCCGGAAGCCCAGCTGGCGGAGGGCGACAGACTCGGAGGCCAGCATGTAATCGTAAGCTCCCTCCAGGGTAGCAGAGGGCCGGCGGCCCCACACCAAAGGTCTGATGCCATCGGGATCTCTGAAGCCGCAGATGCCGTAGCCGGCAATCATGACAACAGCAGCCCATGCGCCGCGGCAGCGCTTGTAAGTGCGCTCGAGCGCACTGAAGAGATCAATCTCGTTGATACGGGCCTTTCCGGTCTCGTTGAGTTCGTTGGCGAAGATGGACAGCATGAGTTCGGAGTCGGAGCTGGTGTTGACGTGACGGTGCGCCGTCTTGTCGAGATATTCACTTTCGAGACGTAAGCATGACTGCAGCATCTTCATCAAGTGTGCGAATACTTACCGAAGCTCAGCGGCGTTGATCAGGTTGCCATTGTGCGACAAGCAAATTCCATACCTTGCTGATGTCAGCAGATGTCCCGAGGCATCCGGAGTGAGTTTGCATTGTGAAGAGGGGGATAGTCGAGACTGGTAATCGGGAGGGGGTGATTTACGGAGCTGTTGGCGAGTGAGGTTAGCAAAGTTCGCAACTTCATGTAGTTTCCAATCTTACAGTTGACGTAGCTGTGGACACATGAAGTTAGAAATAGCTTGACCTCGTTCGTATTCATGAAAACTCACAATGGCTGCGCTTCCGCTTTGCTCGAGCTTCCCGCCGTGGGGTATCTCAGGTGAGAGATTCCCATCCAACCGTGGAGATCGACGACTCTCTTGCCGTCGTTGAACACTTTCGAGGCCATTCCGTTGTCCTTGCAAGAGTATATTCTTCCGCCTTCGGAGCAGACGGCGATTCCTGCCGCATCCTGACCACCTATGGCGATCACTCATGTCAGTTTTGTGACCGTGGGGAAAGCCAGTCGGTTGAGAAAGAGGGAACCGACGGTGCTGCAGGTAGTAAAGGGACTCGTGGAGGTCCTGAGCGGCGTCGCAAGAACCGTCTTCGTCGTCACGGTCATAATGACCCATGCAAATGCCACTGATTCCACACATTTTGTCGAGTTCGGGTGGTCGTGATAGCTTCGGCGGGGTATCCGATGGCGGGGTATTTTAGCAGCGGAACAGGGTCCACGCTGGGGGTTGCTCGCTCGAAAACGTGGGGGACGGCGATTCGGACGGGTGAATTCGAAAGCGTCGAGGCCTGCGATTCTCTTCGACGGTCGAAGGAGCTCGCGAGGGCTTGTCTGGGAAGAAAAGCTCTTGCGAGGGAACGATACAGCTCCAAGAGGGAAAGGGAAAACAAGAGAGAAGACGTCGCGACGGTCGAAAATTCCTGCGCGGCACACGGACAAGCGCACATAAAAATAAAGTGGGGCCGGTTATCGGCGCTCCCAAACGGTTGGCGATCGGAAACCTTAAGGGTCCCAGCTACCTTAACGTCCCGAACAAAGAGACGAAGCAACCTTATCGATTAGCCAGCCCGTCTTATCGGGCCCGGGTCGCTGGCTGGCGGCCGGTTACCTGCAGTTCTGAAAGACCGATGCATTCCGGACTTCGACTGCGAGGGGCGCGCAGGAAAGGGCAGGTCCATGTGATGGTTGCCACGTGGTACAGCGATGCTAGGCTGGAAAAGACTTGCGTCTGAGGGTGCAGCCACCAATGGCTGCATGAGCAGGACGTTTGGAGTTATCGGCCATGCAAAGAAGATGTATTAGTGGCCGAAAGAGCAAAGGGGCACTGTTGATGCAGGTATTGAAGATGGATGGCCCTGTGACATATGCTGTCTAAAGATAAGAGTGTCGGACCGAACCACCATCTTGCTCGGTGGCAGGGCTGGAGTGTGGGTGAAATGCTGTCATGACCTGCCACTTGTATGCAAGTCTCAGATCAACTGGTCGAGTCATCAGATCGCAGGAAAGAGGCCGCATCGAGGCAACTATCGAGGCAAGGGGCAGTACAGCTGACGACGGCTTAGATATCTCAGTAAGGCTGGCGACACCAGAGACATCGCCCTTGCGATGCCACCACCCTCACATCCACCCAAGAACGGGAGAGGTAACGCAAGGCCCTTATGACAGCACCTGTATCAAAACAGGGCCATCCAAGACTTGCTGGCTTTCCTGCAAGGAGGTCTCCAAGACAGGCCTAAGTTCCGTGTCCATATATCAAGCAGCTGTATCAAAGAAGGCATTATGAAAGGACTAAGCAACCGTTTGAGCCAAAGAACCCGGATAATTCCATATAAATGATGCTCGGATATTGGGATAGAGATTTGTGCATCGTAGATCTTATGCATTCAGTGGATCCGTGAAACAGCTTGGTGGAAGCGTGTTGGACGTGGTGTCTAACGTTCACGTCCCTTGTGGCTTGTCGATCACCGTCTTCCTTCATCAAAGCTCCATTTCAAGGATGCCGGATCCTATTTGGGCCCTAATCTAAGGAAAGACCCGTGGAATTAGGTGAGGGGGAGGGGGAGGGGAAAATGGATGAAAAAGGATATTCGGTGGGCGGGGGTCAGCAAACATCATTTCCCTGGGATAGAGAGAGGACAAGCTGCTTTGAGCAAGAGGCAGCGAGCGGCAGCCAGAGGGCGTTACGGCGCTGCAACACGCTTGGAGGATGGTTCTGCTTGCTTCAATAGTCGTTGGTGTTGCTGCCATCACCTTGACACCCTGATTCCCGTCGTGTAGGTTGTGCTTGGCATATGAGTGACATCAAGCCAAATCACGGCATAAAGTATGTATCCAACTTAACACCCGAGAATGGAGCCAGATCGTCCCAAACAACGTCAAGCCCAGCCAGACGACAAGCAAGCCCAAGCTCTAAAGCCAGGTTGTCCTGTGGCTCTGGACGATCAGAAATCTCGCAGAAGCATCAGAGAGGGGGAAGGCGGGGGTCTGTTGCAGAAGGTGCATGCAACAACATGTTCCAGACGTCTTCCACTGATGGGCCCCAGGCAAAATCGATCAATATTCTCGGTAGGTTGCGGCGGATTGCAGTGTATCGTTCGGGGTCGGGCCACTCCACTGATTGTCACGTTGCGACAAGCTGCTGGTTTGGACTTTTTGTCATCGCGTCAAAATGGGAGCGGGAGCAGGTCCGTCTTTGCATCTCTGCCCCGTCGGTTGGCATGGTCACCGGTGAGATTTCCCAAATCATCACGAATGCCCCGTGTTCCAGAAAATTACAATCCCGGCGGGACGAAAGGAGGAGACGGCGGCGAGGCGAGGGACGGGAAGGGGGAACAGCTCCATCCTCTGTTCCGGCTCCCCGTGTTCGGGACGAGCTTGATTGAGCTTCGAGGCATTCGACGAATCGACTGCACCTGCGGCACAGGGCTGTTGTTGTCGAGGTTGGGTGTCGACCCTCTTCTTGGCGAACCCATTCCCACGTTGCCTCGGCCGCAAATACAGTTTCTGCTTTTGCCCGTAGTCGGGGGAATTTCCCATCGGCTCGTGGCGTCCATGTCGCCGTCTGGCATTCGGAGAAAAGAAAGCGAGGCTAGTCGTCTCATATGAAGCGAGCGGCCTGTGACTTCGATTGGAGGACAGACGAGATTGACTTCACAGCTACACTGCGATATCAGGCTCAAACTTCAATGACATTTGGGACTTGGTAAAGTCACATATTCGTTCGTTGTATCCGCACCTCCCAAGGAAGGCGATGGACGTGGTTGGTGGCTTCTCAAATGGCAGGAGCTTGGAAGCACCTTCCCCAATCCCTGCTCTGTCCTTCCCAGGCCCAGAGGCCCGGAGGAAGGTACTGACTGGCAGACCCGGGACCTCGCAAGAACTTGGAAGCTGCTGCTGTCCACAGCAGCTCATTGCCCCTTCAGGCTAGATGGGAGAGCAGCTACCGACCTTACCGTGAGAATCCTTCGGCAGCGCTTTCCATCATGTGTGCCCGATGGAAGGCACCCGACCTGCCCACCTGCCTTGACTCAACTTTGACTTGATCCGACCTGACTTGCCGACCGACCAAGGTAACCTCGTCATGGCATGTCATCATCATCCAGTCTCTCGTCGTCGCTCTAAGGCAGGTACGAAGACTGACTGCTCCTCCCGCTGGCTGCAAACCTCCCCGCCGTGTTTCATCATGGTCCCTGGGTGATCAAGTTAACACCAAGCAGCTGGGAATGCTGGGCTCTCCCGCCTTCCGCGTCGCCAACAGCAAATCAACGCCCTTGTTGGCCTGGGATGTGGTGCGAAGGAGCCACCGGGCCTGGGTCCAGTTCTACCAGTAAGGCCTGTTTTTCTTGTCACTGTCTTGTTCCTCAGTAATGCCCGTGCCCACTGTGACGCGACTCCTCTGGCAAGTCGCTACCTTTTCAGACTTTCGTCTGTCGACGACGACGTAGGAATCCAGCTGGTGCCATTCACCGAGGCCTTCAGCGACCACCGTTTCGGCTGATGTCAGTATGTGACGTCCCGCACCGGCGATGGACTTCGGATCTTCACACATCTGCTCCTCATGACGAGCCGGACCTGATCTCGCTCCTCTTGTAGGGTGAGACAAGAGGCGGATTTGCCATGGCTCAGACCCGGACGCGCTCCCCGGCACCACTTCCTACGCTACAGCATCACCGTCATCTTTCACTGCAATACACCATCGACGGCCAGTAAAAACCTCCAGGCAAGGCTCATCAGGGCCGTTCCGCAGGCCCCGAGCCAAGGTTGCAGCAGCACAGGCAACGTCGCAACGTGAATTGCGAAAAAGAGATGGCAAGAACAAGCAGCGGGTACCAATAAAGTATGTGCTCCGCTTCAAGGTCTTGAGGACGTTTGATTTTTATTTTTTTCTCTTTTCCTCCGAGGTGACAAACTGTGGACAGGTTCATTCGAGATCTCGGGCATGTCTGAGGTCTAATCTAGGGCCTGCTGGCGGGACATGAAACTGCGGGAGCGACCATAAACGCTAACACGATTACTGCGGCGCCAGTCCCAGCCTGTAGGGTGGACTTCCACGTTTTCCCCCGGCGACGAAATGGGATTCGCAGGCCACGTTCTTTGCAATACCCGCGGACACATCACCAGGAGATTTGTTCCCATGTCCGCGCCAGCCATGCCAGCATCTCAGGTCCCGGTCGTCACTGTGAACGGGGAACACCAAGCTCGTTTCGCGGTTATTCTGCTGCTATCGCGGCTGCTACAATGGCTCTGCGACGGACGCTACGGTACTCTGTCTCTTCTGGGCCCCGAAGGCTGGGTCGCCGACGACCGACTCCTCTTCATGTCACTCCCCACCATTCGGATGCTTCCATTCGCCTTCTCTGCCCCTGGGCCCTGGCACCAAGCATCCACCGATGCCGACGGTGCTGATGCGGCAGCTGCCCATTGAGTAGCTACCACCCCCAATGCAAGGGTAGCCAGGTACCGCCCGTACCGACTACCTCGCTGCGTACCGAATGGGAAAGATGTGCTCCGGTACCTGAACATCCAAGCAAGGCTGCCATTAGTCGGGCACACGGGCCCGGCATAAACGGCCTTAAAGGGCGTTTGCTACGGTTTCTCGTTTTCTGGCGGCTGCAGACGCACATTCAAAACCAGCGGGCACACCACCATGGATTTGTGGTCGCCTCTTCATGCTATGCTATGCCATGCCATGCTGTGTATGCACAAAGACGAGCGAGCAAACTGGCATTTTATACCGCCAGGCAGAACTTGGTGCCGCTGGTAGCTTGTGGCGTCAGTTCCACCGTCCCACGCTCCCGACCTCCAACATCAAGGTTGGGCTCCGGCTGATTGGCCTCAGGCTTTAGGCCTCTGAAGTGGCGCCGGGTCCCCGGCTGATCGACTGGCTGGCGTGGTCAATTTCCATCATCCCCTTGCTTCTTCCCTCTTTTGCATTCGTCGTGCCAGCCGCCTCTCAATGGTGAGCACCGACTGGGAAAGTAACTGGGGGTACGTACTGTCTTGTGCCTCTAGCTCGTCGCCAGTGGCTCTGGAATACGGGGGCAGAAAGCTAGCTACTCTCTTCCAGCTCTAGCTCAGGTTCTCGATGCAATACTTGGTTGGAACTTGCAACTGCAACTGCAACAGCTCAAGTCCAACTCTGGTTCTTGAGCTCCTGAGCCCTGAGCGCGGCTTGGTCGCGTCAACGCCGCGTGCTTCCAAGACGAAGCAGTACGTACCAATGGAACAAGCAAACGACACGACATGAACGAATGGTTGATTGCCTGAAGTCACATCAGGATGGAGAACGCGCCGACCCTACCCAGCACCAAACGGACGGACATGAGCTGCATCCACTTTCCACCTTCCCCGAGTGTTCGACCCCCTTTTTCCCAATCTTTCTGGCCTTCGTTGATGTGATTGCGATGCTGCGAACATCAATCACCAAAAACACTCACTTGGATCAGTTCCATGGCTTGATATGACGATTTGGGGGATGGAAACGTCGGGAGGGGAGGTGCACATTGACGCTGGCCGACTATTCGATCCACGACCGTGCTGGAATTCGGACGGGACCCCTCTGATCATTCCCGCCGTCAGCGACTCCCCGGCCCAGCGCATTGGTGATGAGCAGCAAGTTCACTGCACCAGGCCAGGTCCCCCTTTTCTCCTGGCCTTCGTATTGTGTGAGGTGGAAACGGGGCTTTATGCGCTGAACAGCGGCCATCCTGACACTGACAGCCTTTCTGCAGGACTCAGGGCTGCCTCTGGCTGGTTTCTGCTCGCAGAGCCGGCCTGCTCACAGACGGCATGGAAACTGCGTCGTCTCGTCTCCCCACGGCAAGGCTGGATGGCCTTCGTGCCTGCTACATCCCAGTGGCCCGTCACCTTGTGCTCGGCAGCATTGTTCTCCTCCTGGTCCCCTGCCTCGGACGTTGCTAAGTTCTCAAGGGTCTCCTCACATACCCGTCAATCAAAAGAGACGGACAGACGGCGTACGTATGCCAGCCCCAGACGCAACATCATCAGTATTGACAGTACATGTCACGACGAGGCATAATCGTAAGCAGCGATCCGTACGGAGTACCTACGCACAAAATACCAGCCGTTTCCTGGAGCGCATCATTCACCAGGCGACAACCCCCCGTCCCGGCTGGTCTCCAGCAAAGCTCCTCGAATAGGGCTGCAGGATTCCCTGGACGGGGTCCATTTCCAGAGGGTACTCCGTCATGCCCTGTGCGAACCGTCAGGAACGGTGTCGGGTGTCTGCAAGGCAGTATTTGTGGCGAGGTACGCGGTAAACAGCGGTGCGGATAAGGGCCAGATGAATACATTGGTTCAGCTTGCACTTTCCCTGTCGGCTGTTGTGTTGGCATATCACGGCCGGCCAAACACAAGTCAACACAGAGACAACACAGCACGCATTGCTGCGCACATTTTCTTGCACGCACCTCGCCCAAATATACACCAATCCCAGCTTGCGAATTAACCCCAGCACGCCGGTCAGAAGCCTCGTCCAACGGCGTCAACAGCTCGTGCCCCCCCGTCCCTAGTCGCGTCGTGACCCGCGGTCCGTTCGTTCCCCTCGCCTGGGCTGACGGACCGAGTCTTTTGGCGGTGCATCATGTCATTCCTTCCTCTAGTGTTGATGCAGTTCTGTTTTGATGTTGTTGATGATGCTGACAGAAAGACCGGTTGCCACCGCCTGCTGCGCTGTACCTGCGCATCCGCAGCGCACTGCCTGGCGCGGTCTTTAATTTTTGCTGATGTTGCCGATGAAGCTACTGGTGCTGCGCGTTGCAATCTGCAACGCGTTATCCCATGTCGATGGCAACGCAGTATCCGTACAGCACATTGCATGGTGCCTTGAACAGGTACATGATCTCTGGGCGAGTGACTGATGGGGACGCAGACCAAGCTCTTTCGGGCAGTCGAGGCAGCGTTTCTGGGCCATCACTGCCGACCGCCCCGGACGTCGATACTCAGTCGGGTTGTGCCAGTTCATCAAGCAGCGACGCCGCCCCATCAAGTCACGTCCCATCAACTTGGATTGGACTGGACTTGGGGAGAGGAGCTGCAAATGCATGAGCACCCTCGTCGTCCCGTCCAACCGTCCGTCAATCAAGAGGAACAGAGAGGTGCGGGAGTGGGCACGATGAGTGTCGCTATGTCGGAGACGAAGGAACAGACACAACAGACAGCTCGCTGACGGCGGGAAACCAGCAGGATTATAATTCAATAAAGCCAATCTATGCCGCAGCGATCCCCAAACATTGAACTTGTTCCTGTTGAAATTTGCATTAGCAAAACCGAACGAGCTGCACTACGCGTAGTACGCCATTGCACACCACATCGAACACACACTACACACGGCGGGCGGGAAGACAGACGCCTGAACCAACGTCCGAACATACCTGGGTAATCTTACCAAGGTCGGCCCTGCATCCCACCATAATCGTTTTTATCTTATTTTTATTTCTTGTTCTGTCTGCGACGCTGTGCAGACTCACACACGGAAAAAAGGTACTTACAGACTCTCACAGTGAGAGCTTGTACCTCGCAGCACCGGCAAGGGAAAAAGGTACATCTCTCTGGAACACGCGCGCGCACATACACACACCTTCTCAGTCTCTCACTCTCTTGCAGTCACTTCACTTTCCAGACATCCTGACCCTTGTCTCGCAGGCTTGCCAGGTCCCAGACTCCTAGACCAGACACCCAGACCACGCCCCCCTCCCCTGGACAAGACTTGCCCACCATCCACCCACCCCCAGCGCAAATTGGCCCTCGCCCGCCAAAGTAAAAGGGCAGAGACGGACAGGAGAGAAGGAGGGCAGGAAGGAAAAAAAAAAAAAAAAGCACGACTGCCCGCCCCCCGGGATCATTAGCGAAATTGGGCCCCTATCGACGACAGCTCCGTCCCTTCCCCTACGCTTCCTCTCTGGTTTTCTCACCCCCCCAGATTCATTCATTCATGCTAAGAACGGGCCCCGGTCACCTTCGAGTCGTCGATGGCATAGTGGCCGGCTCCTCGCTCCATTTTATCAAGCGTTCAGTCAATCAATCGACCTCTCTTTCTCTCATTGCCCTCCCTCGCCCTCGCTTCAGGCCCTCGTCCTTCGCCCATCCCGACGCGGCCCACGGTGAATCACTCTCGCTGGATCGTAAGTGGGTTTCCATCTCTCGCTGTCCTTCGTCCCTCTCACTCCCGGCCTCTCTTCTCTCTGGCTCGCCGCTCTCCAAGCACACACCCGTACCCATCGCCGCCCATCCCCATCCCAGTCCTCTCTGCTGGTCTGCCTCTACTCGCTCTCACGGCCTCCCTCGCCCGCCCTCTCCCTTCTCGCTTCGCTCCTCCCCTCTCGCACACTCTCTTTCCTTGAAGCTGCCCCTCCTGGTCTACCCTCAATTTTTTTTTTTTTATTAACGCTCTTCTGCGACACAGCTGCTCCCCGCCAAAAGACGGATACCTTAGTGCAAGCATTACCCGTCGCCTAACGCTCTGGTCGGACTGCGTCTCCATAACCAGGTACATGCACCAGCACCTGCACCGGCAGTGTATGCACCCAAGCACATCGCACATACAATATCTCGCTCCTGCCTTCATGCTCAATCTCAATTTCAATCTCGACATCAAGCATACGGATACTGCGCTCCCCAAGGACAACCAACAGTGCAAGGAAACGACGTCGACCTTGTCCCCGTCGCCAATCCCTCCTCTCCTAGGGTCG